CCGCCCTCGCCCCCTCCCCTTGCCCCGCCTGAACATGTCCATACCCCCTTCCTTCCCTCCCCTCCCTTCCCTCCCTCCTCCGTGGCTGTGCCCCCCCACCCCAACTCCGATCCCCTTTCGCTCACTGTCCTCCCAACAGCCTAGTCCCCCCCAGGACTCCGCCCTCGGCGCGCCATGAACGCCTCGAATGGCTTTTCCACCCCCCAACTTCAGCAACAGCAGTTCCCTCCCAACATCACCCCCGCCATGCTGGCACAGTCTCAAGCCCAACACTCCAACGCCTTCCCCCAGAACGCCGGCTTCAACCCCCAGATGTTCCAGCAGTCCTCCTCCAACCCCCTCCTCGCCATGGGAATGGGCTCCATGCCCATGAACGGCCGCCCCATCCAAATGCAACAACATTCCCCTCAGGCCAACATGGGCATCAACCCTGCTTCCCTCGCCATGAGCATGGGCGGAAACCCATCCGCTAACCTCGGCATCGGTCTCGGCTCAGGAAGCGGCATGAATATGGCTGCAAACAACATAAACATGTCCGCAAACGGCGGCATGAACATGTCCGCAAACGGCACCAGCGGAGGCGTCAACTTCAACGCGATGGGTCTCACCCCCGCTCAGCTGGCCCATCTCCAAAGCCTTAGCCCTCAGCAGCTGCACCAGCTCGCGCAGGCCAAGATGGCGGTAGGTCATCGCCTTCTCACCCCGACTCCTCCGCCTAATCCAGGTTTAGGAACAACAGCAACGGGAACGCGCTCAAATCCAGCAGAACCAAACCTTCAATGCCAACCAGCAGCAGCAGCAGTACATGGGCGGAAACTCCCTCCAGCAGCCGCAGCGTCGCGAACAAGGTCTGCAGAACGTGCTCGCGCAACAGCAAGCACAAGTCTCCGCCGGTTCCTACTTTGACCAAGGCCGTCCGTCTTCCACCTCATCCGCGCACTCCTTTCACAGTCAACCGCAACAAATTCCCCAACAGCTTCACCACTCCAATTCGAATTCAAACCTCGCACAGAGCTTCAACCCGTCGCAGAGTCAAAACGCCTCCTTTCCGTTTCCTCAGCAGCAACAGCAGCAGTCCATGATGCCCCCGCCCCCTCCTCGTCCCCCATCCGCACGTCCGGGCACAAGCCATTCGCAGCGCTCCACTTCCGCTGCCGGTCATCATCCACAGTCCCCGTCCTTGAGTAGTTCGGTGATGGGCATGGCTATGGGCATGGGCGGATCAGGCGGCTTGAACATGGGCATTCAACGTCCACCCAGTCGTCAGCATCCCTCCGCAGGAGGGTACGCACCCAGTCCAGGTCCTCATCCCGGTGCTGCCCCGTCTACTCCCAATGGCACCAGACGCCCTTTGTCCGCTGGTTTTATACCTCCGACCCCCATCCAGTCAGCTCAAGGCATCCCTCAACGCCAACCCTCTCAACCTCCCCAGCCTCAAAATTCACCCTTCCCGATGCCAGGCTCCCCGAGAAGGCGCAAGTCAACCGGCGGGAGCATAGGCTCGGTTGATTTCCCCCTCGGGAACACGGGCATGGGTCCGGGCGGCGCACCTGGAATGGGGGGTATGGCGTCCATGCCGATGACCGTCAATATAGGTCAAGGAGGGCTCATGTCCGGCGGGAGCGGCAACGCGAACATGCTCCCCGGCTCTGGCGGAGGATTGATGGGTCCACCCCACGTCGTCCCTTCTCGCGGTCCTTCCCAAACGCCAGGTCCCGACATGAGCATGGGCATGGGCGGCATGACCCCGGGAGGAGACGCTCGTATGCGCCAAGGTCAAGGCCAGAACATGAACATGGGCATGTACGAGCAGGCCATCAGCCCGGTGCAGCCCAAACTGAACCCGGCGGCGGCGATGGCTGCCATGCGTGAGCGGGAAATGCACTTACAGGCAATGGGCGGTCTCGGTGGTATTCCTAATGCCGCGGACCCCATGGCGATGTCGGGCGTTGGGGGCGGCATGCCTTTGAATGTCGGAATGGCGGGTGTCGATGGGCCTGTCAGTGCACCCCCCTCGGCCGTGGCCCCGCGCCTTCCTAATAACGCGATCCCCCCTTCTCTTCCCCCTCCCGCGTCTGCTCCGCCCGTTGCACCCTCTGCAAGCGCATCTACCTCCGCGTCACTGCCTGTACCGGTGAAGCGACCCCACAGCGGAAGCACAGACCTGAAAGAAGCCACCACGCGCATCACGTACGTTGGGCCTGACGACATCACGCCGCTGACGGACGAGGAAATGGCGGACGTGAATGCTTGGAGGGCGCGCGACAAGGCGTACGATGCCATGTTTCGTGGCATGCACGCGCGCATGGACCAGGAGCGCGCGGCGATTGGTCCCAAGGCGGCCGGGTGGTGGGAGGAGGCGGACCCGACGAAGCCTCGCGCGCGGTTCTCCATCACGTACCCGGGCCATCGCGTAAGGGAAAATAAGAAGAAGGGGAGGAGGGAGGGGTTCAAGCTGTGAGCGTCCTTTTT